CACTCGCTAGGCGCTTGTAGAGTTGTCACGTGTTGTGTTGATTAAAAAAAATCTCTTGATAAAAATATGCCGTCGTGTGTACTTAGATATTGCACAAATAATTCAAGAAATGTCAGTAAAGCCAAGGAATTACTTTTCATCGGTTAAGAAGATATTTAATCAATAAAAACGTATTATGTATTAATAATAAAACAAATTATTCCTAAGACGCCATCTTGTGTCATGGAATATAGATTATGAAACGAATATGTATGTTCAGATGCGACATTTCTGTGGGTACTTAAGTACAGGACGAATATATTATTATACATATTTTTTTGTAGAAACGTATGTAAGTTATTATAATTTGGCAAAATTTTTCATGTTTAATTCTGCTTATTATTCTTTTATTTTATTTTTAGGTTTCCACATCAAAGTCAAAGTGGTATAAATTCGTCAATTTTTTAACTCTCGCGTGCCCAGCATTTATGAACGACTCTTATTCTAATTTAAATATTTGTAATTTAAATGTTATGTTAATAAGTTTTGTTAAACATACATTTAGTATGTTTTTTTTATATTTGACTTAAATACCTTTTAAAATATTCAGATAAAAATATCATTAAAATGTAATTGTGATATAATATTATGTAATGTTATATTAAATAATTAAATATAATATGCAAAATAAATGACAAAATTTAAATATTGTTCTCGATATAATTTACCTATTTAACAATACAATCTACTATTACCTACGGATCACTCTACCTATGTTTATTCTATGATAAAAAAACAACCGCGCGAACACAGAGTAGCGCACATTTTTTGTTTGAGATAACTGTTCTAGTACGTAAGTACATATTACTTCAATGTTTGTAACACAGAATTTGTAACATAATGTAACATTAAAGCTGACCTACAGGCATAAAGGTAGACTGAAAAATTGACGCCTCTGAGAAAAAAAAATAAACGAATGGGCTGTAACTTTACTTTTTACTGTTGTAGTTCTAGTATAAAATGTTCTAGTGTAAAAATGAAATGTCATGTCCTGTAAATTCATGATCACCATTTCCGAGCATATAAATAATAATAACACAAACACAGCATAGTTTGTAACTATGTGTAAAAAATTATACACCACGTTTGTTATCTTATTGTTTTGTACCATTCAGATACCAGAACGCTGGTTTCCTGGCAAGGTGGACTACGTTGGCCACTCTCACCAGTGGTGGCACATACTGGTGCTGGGCGCTTTGTACTACTGGCACAACTCCGCCATGATCTACGTGCAGTACCGCATGAACCACGGCTGCGCAAACACCATGCGGATATTCTAAATAACCCCACCTACATATTTATATATAGTAAATAAATTTGCTTCAACATCGTTTTCTACTATACATAGTTGAACCCTCTTAGGAGCGCTCCTTGTCGATATTACAACGGTGCAAATATGCATTATAAATTGTTCTTATTTCTTTACTTGTTCATCACTGTTATAGTTACATAAAATAATCAGAGAAATCTGCTTGTATATTCAATACAGTGTGATACAAATTGTCACCAGGACTATATTAACGAAGAAAGTACACAATACTATCTATCGTATTTACTGAATTTTATCGAAAGTTGTGCTTTGCACATCACTACGATTGTATACATAAATGCAGCAGGGCACAGACTATACGGTGCGGTTTTCATGGGTGCGATAGAGATGGTATATTACTGTTAGCGTTTTGACAATTGCCTGTTAAAAGCAAATGAATGAATTATGTTAATAATATATTTATATAAAAGTTCGTAATTATAATGATCATAAAATTGTTTTATATTTGACAGATGCACTTTTTATTGCCCATATTGGTAATAAGATTATAAATCAGTTTTATTGCTTAAATAGTCAAAAAAAATTGTGAATTGTTTTGATTGTCAATACAATATAAAGACTAATATTGACTATAAGATTTGTAAATATTGAATAGTATTGAAATTTGTGATATTTTAAAGAATAAAGGTGTAAAGAGTCTCAATTCAGGCACCAGCCCATGGTCCTCTCACTTTAAGAGGGTAGATAGATATTGATGAAAAAAGGTTTACCTATTTACACGTTACATAAACCGGCATAAAATTTTTATATTTTATTTTTATATTGATCAGGAGTTCACCATTGATATACCCAAGCAGATATTCGTGTTATTATTGACGTTCTAAAATTTATGATTTTTTAAAGATGATATAAAACTATTATAATATTCTTAAAAAAGGAATATTCTTAAAAAAGAATTTAAAATAAAATTAACAAAAATTTATAAAAAAAGTTTTTACTATTTTTGTGTTTTATTATGTGATGAGTAGCGACTTATTTAAAAATATTATAAAACAACATTAAAATTCAACCTTATTTGTAAAATATACTTATTTTATTGAATTACCTAATGAAAGCAATGATGACATTACAAAATGTCACAACGTTGGCGTCACAACTCAAACTTTAATATTAGACTGTAATGGCTTATTTGCTCAACGATTTAAAGTTACACTAATTTAATTTAATTATTATTAAGATCTGTTTTTCTATTATATCCCATTTTTTATTTTGAGTTTTATTTATGTGTACATATATAATTGAATCGATGTTTAATAATTCCTACTAACACTCTAGTGTAAATAATTATAACTTTTTACAAAACGTATAAACCGACTTCAAAGTGCTTAAAAAGGTTATAGGAAAAAAATCATTAAAATCAGTTCTTTATCTGCGAAGATATTTTTTCAAATTCCTTAAACAAAAGTTCAACAAAAAAACAAAAATACTTGACTGCGGAATTTTTTCTTCAAAATGTAATGGGACTACCTTTGAGGTAAAGCCTGTTTAATAAAAAGAGAATTATTAAAATCTGTTCACAATCTGCGAAGATATCGCATATTATACATAACATACACTCGAATTGAGAACCTCTTCCTTTTTGAAGTCGGTTAAAAATATTTCTTGTGTCTTTAAAAGTGTAAACATTCCCTCCTACTTTCGTCGAAAAGAAGTGTCTCTATTCTCTAGCATTTAACTATCATCTGTGATTTTAAATATTTTTACTTTTGTGTTTTTTTTTTTACTTTTGAATATTGTTTCTATGTTAAGCGGGTTGGCGTTAGTTTTATTTAATACCAAGTGAAGGATAATAAATATTTTGGTACAATTATTGACTTTGAATTCCACCATTTAATTTCAGTCATCCCTACGGTCTTTAAAGTGAACGTATAATTGTAATGGCGGCTGTACACACTCGACGAGAGCACTCGCCATGCCTCTCGCGAGCCTCTCACACTGGAAAGCGCTTTCACGAGTGGGACCTTATACATTCTCGCTTATTCAGTAACGGTGAGGGACGACAAGGGGATGGACTGCCGTTCCCCTTTATGCACATAGTTTGACATAACATTTGCATTTAATCCAAACTTGCATATAGTACTGAAAGCGGTTGTGTGAATTTTAAGGTAGTTTAAGTAAACTCTATTTTTTGAGTTTTTTTTATATCATAAGAGTACTCATAACCGACGAGCCTGTTTTGTTGATTGTAGTGAGGGGGGGAGACATGATTTCGGACGGATGGATTTTTGTCTTTGTGGTAACGATGCGTTATACAGAAATAGGTTCACTGATAAATTTAAGAAAATTGTGTTTGCTCTCTTGGTTCCACGTGATAAGTTTGTGCTATTAGGATAACCAAATATACTCCACGCTAAAACGTCTTGCGGTAGACTAAACGAAGCGCGAGTGTACAGTGAAGCACTCGTGTTGGAATGCGAGGCCCTTTGACTCGTGCACCAAAAACCGACACGAGCGCGAGAACACGCGATGCGAGGCGAGGGAAGGCAAGGCTCAGCGAAAGTATCCTGTACACTCTCGTCCTCGCTTTGCCTCGTGGGCCCTCGTCGAGAGTGTACAGCTGCCATAAGATATGAAAGATAAAGTCTTCTGAAGGTGAAGAGGTGCAGAGGTTTTTTTGAGAAGATGTAATAAAGGAAATAACAAATGTAATCGTCATCAATACAGCCCATGACAGTTTCACTGCTGAGCATAAGCCTCTTCTAAAGAATGCCACAGAGCATGGTCCTGAAACATCGATCTCATGCATGTCTTAACAGGTTGTCACTCCATTTAGCGGAGCGCTGCCATACACATATAACTCTGAGCATATCTCTCGCCATAGCTCGCTGAGCGATCTTGAGCTTCCTCATATGGACAGCTGTGAAGTACTACGTTTCAGATTCATATGTCACCACTGGCAACACGCTCTGGTGGTACGCTTATTGTTAGTGGTACGCGTATTTAGGTTTTGAGGTATGTGTGACGAGATGTGTCGTAACACTGCCTAGCTGAGTTGGATTCGTTGATCTCGGTCCAAATTGGACTTACCTAGTCGGACAATTTCTCCTACTTGAATATACTCTTCGTGATTTCAACAACTTCGAGCTTTGTGCTTCTAACTATAAAATTCAATAATTGAAATGATCTTTGACCATTTTCTAATAGGAACCAATAATCTTATGATGCAAAATGCGGTTCAAGTTTTGATATGTTGAGTCTGACTATGTATTGAAAATAATAATTTTGAATAAATGATTACCTAGTTAATAAATTTAAGAAAAAATAAATAGTATTTTCATTAAAGTAAAACCCTTGTTTACATGATGTCAGTAATGAGACCTTTCCTTTAGCTTGCTATATGAGGGGTGCCAAACCATAATGTTTCAAGTGCCAGAAAGTGGAATTTTCAGGAGATACAAAAAACAGTTTTAACGGAAAAAGAAACAGCAAAGCAATAAAAAAAGAATGTTTATTCAAATTATCATTTATTATTAATAATTTAACACAACTTTTGTGTCAGTCAAAACAAGGAAATAATATTATTTTGTTTCTAAAAAAATATTAAAAGAACAAAACGTAAGTACCATTATTTATGCAAGTCATAACGTTGTAAGTATTATATTACTTACACATAACTCAACTAGAAATATCTTTATTTTAAAAGGTTTTCATAAAATAATTTGCTATCTCTGGCTAAATAGAGCAACATGGCACCAATATCTTTCTTTTTCTCGGCAGATAAAGGCACAGGTGTCTCGATCATGTCAACTGGTAGGTTCTTAAAACTCGCCTTAGTAATTCCAGGTTTAAGCACTGGAGTTGATATCCAAGGAGCAAATTCGCCGTAACTTTTCTTTGTAAAAATGACACCAAAATTTTCAGATGTTAGGCGAATCATCGTTGCTGAAGATATCTGTAGCTTTTTGGTATTAATCATATTTTTAGCCAGATTCATCCAATTAAAAAAGGTTTTATTATCCACTACCAAGAATGGTTTTTTTTGCCAGCATTTGTAATAAGTTCAATAAGGTCTTTTGGAATCTGTGGCTTTGCACAGTTTTTCGCTTTTTCAATGATCGCAAAATCACAATCGCAGGCGAGAAATGTATGACCCTTTACAGGAAATTTATGAGTAATTTCTGAAAAGAAACCTTTTAATTTTTAATTAATTAGTAATTAAAACGAGGAACATAGCAAGTACAGCTTGGTTCTTGTTTTGTCCACCACAGTTATCTGACCACAAAATTAATTTCTTTTTATCTGTAGTGTATCCTATTTCACTAAAAGTGAAAAACTTGTAAAGACGGGAAGCGATCTCGTTGGAACCCCTTTGCCCAACAGTTTTATTCTAGAGAAACATGATGCCCTTTCCTTCGTCCTCCAAGTGAATTCCCATATTGACAAACGCCAGCTGACGACTGTAGTACATCTGTGTATGGGTTAATGTTGGGAGGTACATCTGTTGCTGGAGGTCGAACTGAACCACTCGAACATCTGAATTAGGACATTTAGAGTCTGCTCCATCATTATTCATTAGTTTTCTGGCCATCACAGCTTGCTTGTGATGAAAGTCCAACTTTTGCTTAGCGAGGTCTTTTACTACTTCAGTTGGAGCAGTATCTATTTCGATTTTAGAAGAGTCACACGTCGGGCATGTGTCTACTCGCGGAGGCTTGAAAGAAAAATTAAACTCGGTCAAAAATATTTCATTAAACCATTGCCTAGATACTGGTGGCTTAGTAGATCCATCACGGTGCTTTTCTAAAAACCCTTTATATAGTTTGACCACACTAAGTTCTGTTGGGAGATATTTTCTATTAGGAGCGTCATTTCGACTATAATGACTTTCTTGAGCCGGTATTGACTTTATGTACACGATAATCTTTTCTCTCCACTGAGGTCGCGTCTTTGCCTTTTTCCACCACGTCTATCTTTTACAGATACGTCATTACTAAAAATTTTTTTCGGAAAGCATCTGCACACGGCGTTGACTGATACCAAAAGTATCGCAAAACGTCTTTTTACACACCTGAAATTAAAAGGAACTTATAACTATTTGTAGAATAGAATTCTTTTGAAAACATTAATTATTGTACTAACTAAGAATATAATTCGAATAACGAATAGTAATTCTTACCTGAACTTCCGACATGCCTCTAATTATGAGATAGTATTTAAATGTACGTTGTCGCCTGCTTTCGGTTGCATCTTCATAATTGCCAAGTCTCCTTCTGTTTATAAAACAAAGCCGTATAAGGTTTTTTAGGTAAATCTGCTGTTCGTTATAATCTCCCAGATTCCAGAAGTCGTGAAATAATTTTTTACGGCATTCCAATGTCAAACAGGTACACGAAAACTGGCATTTGCAAGAATCCTACAACAAAGTAAATGATTAAATTTACAATTTGCATAAAATGTTGTTTACTGTTTTCATCACCGTTTAGTAATACAAGTGTATAATAACAATGGTAAAGTAATATAAATATATTTAAAGGTAAAATACTATGTTTACGTTTTTTAACAATGGTTTAAAAAAATTGTCACACATACCTCACTTGGCTCACTTTTTTCACTCACTTCTTTATTTTTTGTATTCACATATGATAAGCCCTTGTTTCTGCAATATTTCCTTATTGTTTTTTTCCATGTCGTTTTATTAACAATTTTTTTTCTCGTAGACGCACCGTCTTGTTCGGACATTTTGAATGCACTGACTGGCACTGACTTTGCATTGCAGCTCATTTGGCACTTACAACGTTATGGCATGCTGTTTCACAATATTTAACTTAGATGACGTTAGAAACCCTTCAACTCATTACTGCAAGTAAACGCCGGCACATACAACGTTTTACTGCAATAAAACGCATTTCAGTTCGTGTGGCACTTAAAACGTTATGGTTTGGCACCTTTCATATGAGATTACTTCCCAAAATTTGAGCCTTATAAACGAGGCCGCTATATTCTATTTTCGTTTGGCATGGAATTTTCACAGTTTAAATAAATTATTAAAATACAGGGTTTTAAAAAAAATTGAAGTATGAATTGAAAGGTGTTTGGTCCTCAAACCGAAAAAGTGTTTGAATCTAGCAAAATCGATTTTTTAAATCTAACTATAAGTACATGATTTTTTATTAGAATGCCTCCAAGCATTTTTCGCAATTCCTTATCTACCTATAGTTTTAGATTTGGTAAACAGTAAAAAAACTTAACTGTAGACGGGTTCGCATCTGTTTTTACTGAAAATATCGTGGATATTTACTGAGAAAATTCTTCTGTATATTGCTGCCAGATGAAAAAAAGCCATTAGGCACTAACAGTGATAATAAAAGTGCTAGATTCAATGAAATTAGCACATAAAAACGCTAGATTTTGCGCTAAAAGTAATGAATGTTGAATCTTTGTGTTTTTGAAAACGAATAAGCATTTGTGTAGGACCAATCGGTTATTCTGTCGTACGAAACAACTAAACCGTACTGTCGTATCAGAAATCAAAAGCGCTAAATTATCCACTAGGTTTTAAAATTTTCAAATTATGCGCGCTAGGGTTAAAAAGCGTTATTATATCCAGCGGCAAACAAATGGCAGCTCTACTTACATTGAAGTGTGTGCGGAAGTTGCGTCATAGTTAAATTCCGCCAGAAGTAGGTACGTAATTATTGTTGTGAATTTATTGATAAAAAGTAAAATACTTTCAATAATTCATAATTAATTTGTTCTTAACTTTGAATATTTTAAAATGATTTTTGTATACAATAACCAATAACTATTGCAATATTGAAATATATGAAATAATGAAACATGTTGATTTGCGGCATCTAGCGGCGAGTAGAAATTTGCTCAGACATTTGCTCTACTATTTGTGAATAGATGGCGCAACTTAATATGTTCTACTTTTTAGACGACGATTATGTGATTTCTACATTATCCAATGAAATAAAATAATTTTTAATTATGGTTTTATACACTTCTTTTTAAATCATAGCCATATAAATCTAAAAAAAAGTTTCCGTCTCCAGTAGTGATGATAACGTATTAAATCATCTGCGTACACCTATTACTACAAGATATCTGTTACTTTTTATTTATTTGTAGCCCACGTTACACGACGTCACAGGTATAACGTGTTTTTTATATAGTAATAGTGATAATACTACGTAGTACTATGATTTATTCTGTGATAATTATATATATATATATATATATATATAAGAGTATATCGATATACGAGCTCAAGAAATAACTATCGCATAAAAATAATGAGAAAAAAATATAACCAAATATTGTAACATTTTCACTCTTACAAAGTTCGAAAATCTAATGTAGGTGCGAGTTTGTTTCTTCTACGAATTCTAACACATTCTATACATAATCTGGCACGTCTACATTTTTTGCCTACAGAGTTCACTTTAATATTTATGCATAATGCAAATCGTATGTTTTTATCTGATCCCATAATTTTATGTTAATTTTTTTACGATGTCAACAATTTCAGTCGACTTTTTTATTTATATTTATTGGTAGGTAAGTAGGTAGGTATATTAAATAATCTAATAATAACTAAATACAAGTGAATTATTTAAAAATTGGAAGCATCTATATCACGGGATCTCAAATTAATAGTGTCGTCAATTTCTTTCTTCTAATATATTAGTAGCCTATTCTAAATTCAGTAATGTAAACAATTCCTTAAATCAACTGCGAGTTGTCTGTTCGCAGCGAAGCTACATTTGTGACACGAAGCGGAAAAATCCATTTACTGCAAAAATAAAATTGGAAAGGCTCAATGGTATCAAACAAAATAGTGATTTCACATACCAGCGAGCGCGATAAATGAATTCTGACAATGCACACACATTTCGAGTTCACACCAGTTAAACCGAAAGGTTTGGTAGCGGGAAAAACGAAAAGATAAATGGGCAATATTTTCATTGCGCCGTTGAATGTAGAGTGTGTTTACTTAGCATTGTGAAAAATATGGCTCGGAGTGTCGATCACTTGCTTTTTGTACATACATCGACATTTCCCTTTAAAAATCTCTCATAAAAATATTTTGTTTGTAATAGCTCGTATATCTGAGCTTTATTTTTTTATTAAAGTAGTGTTAGTTTAGTTAGTAAGAACGATCTTTCACCAGGGATGCTAGTCTAGGTAATCTGGATCAGATTTTTTTGAAATATAAGGAAGGTTTACTTCGGGTACTGTTCGGTTAACTCTGTGAGATGTTGGCAACCATAGAATACTATAATACATACATAATAGAACGGGGAGTGGGCGGAGCCCGTATAGCCACTAAAATGTCACTAACACGTCAATTCACACGTATAAATGTCAACACGAGATGTGTTTTGACGTAACAATCGTTTCCAAATTTCGCATGCAAATTATTTAGAAAATACTGAATTGCACGCTATTTACAAATAAATATGTATTAAAATTTAAACGACTTATTTTAATGATGATTTTGAACATTAATCAAAAGTCTAAAATGTGTAAATTTACTCAGTCTATCAAAACAGCGAATCGGGTTTGTAATAGTGATAACACGACGTAATTGCTTGTATGTGTGCTCCCGGCGACGCGGTTTCTCGTACAAAATAAGTTTGACAGCCATTCTATTGTGTATTATAGTATTTTATGTTGGAAACAGTGAAAAAACTCAGTGCGACTCGGTGTTCGTAGCGGAGTTGAGGAGATACGTTACTCTATCTCTTTTTTTTTAATGAAGAAAGCAAGCCTTTCGTTGAGTTTAACAAACTTTTTTCTGTCTATCTATTAAGTATGTCGCTTTAAAATAGCGACTTTTATCTGAGGTCGAAGTGTTGACATCATAAAAATATAAAAAATAGTCTTTTAATACAAATATATATATGGGGGTGGGGGTGGGGGGGATTGGGATATTTACCATCCTGCCGCGCTGGGTAGACGGGTTGGCGACCGTAGTTTTTCCAAGTGGTTAGTTCTATGGGAAAGGCCTTTGTTCTGTTATCTTGGCTTACCTATGTTGGCGAGTCTGTTAGTGATCGTGTAACTACTGAACGGCTTGCCCGGTTGGGGTCATATTCAAACAATATACCTATAGGTACCTGTTTTGTCGAGACGATGGTTCATAACTATGTAAGATTCGATAGGTGGCGCTATTGTTAAGTTATTTATGTTCGTGAGTCTGTTAGTGATCGTGTAATTCCTGAACGGCTTGCCTGGTTGAGGTCATACTCAAACAATATACCTGTAGGTACCTGTTTTGTCGAGACGATGGTTCATAACTATGTAAGATTCGATAGGTGGCGCTATTGTTAAGTTATTTACAAATTATATATTTACAGATTCAAACGACTTATAGTCACAATATCGGGAATGAGGTGATCGCTGCCATGTTGTTTTTAAGTGTTTTCATAACAATTGTATAAATATTACATTGTAAGATATGCTTTAAGAAAAGTCCCGCTGGGTTTCTTGGTGGCTTTTTCCAGCACAGAGGTTTTATCTGAACTAGTGGTAAAAGTGATAAAATGACTTTCCTATACTTTTTTTTCTTATAGACTAAGGGTGGCAAACGAGCACACAATCCTCTTGACGGTAAGTGGATGGTGTGGCCCAGTTTGGTTTTAGACATGGCAAATCAACAGAGCATGCCGTTCATAATCTTACGAATTTTTTGTCATCGTATTTAGACAGTGGAAAAAAGTGTATTTCAGTTTTCTTAGATTTGGCGAAAGCATTCGATACAGTATCAATAAAAATACTATTAAAAGACTGGAAAATGTTGGTATCAGAGGCACTGAACTCAAATTATTTAAAAGTTATCTTTCTGAGAGATATCAATGCGTTAGTGTGAATAATATTACCAGCAATGATTTACTAGTAACACACGGCGTACCACAAGGGAGTATACTCGGCCCAACCTTATTTCTAATTTATATTGATAATTTTACAAAATTTGATCTCTCTCAGGGACATATAATTTCATATGCAGATGACACTGTTTTGATATTTGCTACGGATACGTGAAAAGATGTATTCTCGTCCGCACAAATAGGTATAAATGCAGTTACTAATTGGCTTTACCGTAATAAACTTTCAATCAATATTACGAAAACAAAATATATAGTTTATTCATTAAGAAAACCTATTCGCAACCTTGAAAATTTTAACTTAGTCATTCATTCATATGATTGCTTAACAAGGGATAACAGCTTATTAACTTAAAACGTAAATTCTTATATGACTGTCATCCGTAATACTACCCGTATAAAATCATAATAACCAGACACACACACACACACACACACACACACACACACACACACACACACACACACACACACACACACACACACACACACACACACACACACACACACACACACACACACACACACACGCACACGCACACGCACACGCACACGCACAAGCACACCCACACGCACGCGCACACGCACACCAACGCAGACGCACACGCACACGCACACGTACACGCAACACACACACATAAACACACAAACAGACACACACACACACACAAACACACACACACACACACACTCACACACACACGCCACTCACACGCACACGCACACCCACATGCACTCAAACACGCACTCACACACTCACGCACACTCACGCACACGCACACGCACAAGCCCACGCACATGCACACGCACACGCACACGAACACGCACACGCACACGCACACGCACACA